TCATCATCTCACGTCGGCTCATTTACTGTGAATCTAGCTGTTCTTTTTATTTTACAATAATAAGAGTATTATTGTAATAAAAATATTAAGCATAAATATTGTATTTAATAATAATCACAAAAATCCAATTATTATTTTATTCATATTGTGGAAACAGTGAAAATGTTGTCTATAAAAAAGTGGAAAGAGATTCTGTTCTCTGTTCACTTTATGGTTAGGGTTTGAGTTGGTTCTTGTAAAGACTATAACACAAGTGAGAACACCCAAATTTTTCCCAAATTGTCCAACCCTAAAAGGATGGTTCAGACTTAAAGATGCCTTGAGAGAAAGATGAACTCTCCAACAAAAAAAATCACCCCAATAATTCTAGAATGATTTCATTTTTTTCAACAGCTATTCTAGCGAACATTGCTAATTTTTTCATAATGCAAAATATGTTGCCAAAAAAACGAAATATTGCAATGTCAGTTTTTTCCAATAACATGCAGTCCTCTATTTATCTATTTAGATGGTAAATACCTGAATAGAACTAAGATTCTTTACATACATTTTTAAGCTGTCAGAGAAGCCAACATTCAAAGCTATACATGTCTCCTAAACAACAAAGAACAGACAACAATGAGAGAGAAGAAACAGGAAAGGCTGAATGAATCTATTCAGTAATTCAACGAGGAGGCTCTTGAGAGCACCAGAGGTGTGCATCACAGAGAGAATCTATTTGTGACTGGAGGGAGATGAGCGTGAATGGACCAGTTTATGAGCTAGCACTAACTACAACGCACAGCACATTCACTGTTTTCTATTAACTTAACTTAGAAGCGATTCAAGCAATAATATTTAAAAGTAATCCAAAAATATTTTTTCTGAATGATGTCAGAATCCCAAAATGTTACCCCTGAAATGCGGTTTTGTGTTATCCATATGACTATTAGAAATGCTACGGTAGAGTAAGTCGTGTTGACTTTGCTTTCAGTCGCTATGGCACTGGCAAACACTAAATATGCAGTCTCCGTTGCTTTGTTTGCAAACATTATTTGCCGAAACACTCCCACCACAACTGCACGCCACAGTTCATTAACCATTGCGTGGCGAAATAATCAGAAAGCAATCCTACACTCATCCATCCTTATTTGACAGGTTTCCTGTAAAAGGCTTCTGTTTTTTAACGCCCAATTGGCTGATAATAACACACACTTTGAGATGGTTCAGTAGCTCTACATTCAAATGGTCTGCAATATTTGCTGCTGAAATAAGCAGTGAATACATATAGTGGCCCAAAAAAATGTTTGGATATTTAACCCACACTTGTATGACTGCCACTGCATTAGTCACATTTTTACAAAATTGTAATGTTTTAAATTCTAAAACAATAGATTCAAAATTAAACTGTAAATGTAATTATATTTAGGCATTTTAAGTCTACAAAACTTTTTTGGGGTCTCTGTATGTAGGGCTTCAGCTCTTTTAAAAATTTAAAAACTGTAGCGTCTGGACCAATCAGACACACAATTTTTCATTTGATTTAACAAATCAATTATTCATTAGATTAACAAACGTTCACAGACCCCTCACCCAATAAACATACTGGGTGCCAAGTTGTCTGTGAACAAGGCCCAGGACCCTGGTTACCATGGCAACCCTGACACCTCTGCTAGACCAGATAGATTTTACGACCTAATGGCATGTTGAGAGAATTGACAGACAGTTGACCCTGAGAGGTCAAGTAAATATCTACAGCGGATCTAAATATTTATAATTAATTATAACTAGTTATGATTAATTATTCATATTTCCCCATGAATGAGCTGATTCGCTACAAAACAAAGCCAGAGGAAAGGTTGGCCGCAAAGATAACGCAATGGATTGTTTTTTTTGTGATGATGGGTATGTGTATGTGCAGGGCAGTCAACAGCGCAGTTGCTCCAGCTGAATGCACAGAGCGGCAGACAATTATGTGTGATTGTGCTTTCATTAAATACACTGCAGGTGGTGTATGAAGCATCTTTTGGCAGCCAAGAGAAAACGCCTCCTACACATGGCCTTGCGACCCACACAACAGAGTCCTTCCTGAGGATAAAGGGAAAGAGCAAGAGAAAGGCTTTTTGTTACTCTACAAAAGCAAAATATGCTTGGTTTGATGTGGAGTGGCCCAATCGATTTTTGTTTACTGTGTAAATAAACTCATGGTAAACACATTTTTGATATTAACTCGGATATCCAACCAACTGCCTGATTGAGATTAGCTGAGAGTGCAAGTTGTAACATTTCTGAAATCATCAAATAAACATAAGGAACCTTTCACCAAATTAGTTTTTCAAAGCTAGTATAAATCAGTGCTGATTGACTAGCTAATTGATGATCTCCCAAAGCAATTACAAGGGCTTTTTGATCATAAAAAGCATTGATCTTGCCAACAGGATGATATGACATCCTAGCCTCTGAGTCATCCCAAATGTGTGGCTGTGATCTATTCAAAGTGGGTTTAAAATAGCTCTTTTAGCTGTGTCATGAGTTCTCCATCTACTCCAGAAAGCATATGTCTTGGAGGATTCTCTAAAATAATCTCTTATAAGCTAAAATCCTGAAGATATAGTTATATGACCCTTTCTTTTTGTATCCTCTAAGCCTAACAATAAATTTGAATCATTAAAAAAGGTCCTATACGCTACCGTTCAAAAGTTTGGGGTCGGTTTTTATTGTATTTGAAAGAAGTCTCTTATGCTTGCCAAAGCTGCAATAAAAAACTATTATGAAATATTATTACAGTTTTAAGTATCTGTTTACTATTTTAATATATTTTTAAGTGTAATTTATTCCTGTGATAGCAAAGCTGAATTTTCAACAGCCAGTCATTAGCATCACATGATCTTTCAGAACATGCTGATTTGTTGCTCAAAAAATATTTATTAATATTATTAATGTTGAAAACAGTTGTGCTGCTTAATATTTTTGTCAAATCATAATTTTTTTTAGGATTCTTTGATGGATAGAAAGTTAGAAAGTACAGTATTTATTTGAAATAGAATTTTTTTGTAACAATGTACAGTAGAAGTCCTTACTGTCACTTTTGATCAACTTGACAACCCCTGATCATTATTGACTTTCATTATATGGAGAAGAGCAGTATAAACTTCAGCCTTTCATTCCCCAGCAGAAAGAAAATCACACCGGTTTGAAAACTCACATGAGTCTGAGTAAATGATGACAGAACTTTCAACTATTTCTGTAAGTGCATGTACCATCTGCATTTGATGATATAAAAAAGTGCCTATGAAACTGGCAGAAAATCAGAGGCAAAACATTGTTTGTTTGTCACGGAAACAGTGCTTGCAGGTATACTTGTCACACAGAAATGGTGAAAAATGCTGGTTGTGGGCTTATTTGTCGGCAGATGCAGCAATTTTGCCCCTGCCAGCACTGGGATGTTTTGACTACACTGACATGAACGCTGCCAGGACTGAGGAGATTTTATGCTGAACTTCCCTCCTACTTGTTCCGCTCCCCTCACTTGATGTTTGTCCATCCATCTAAAATACACGCTTACCAGTTGATAAATTAACAGTTCCTTACCGTTTCCCCGAAGGCATTTTTCAGTGTGTTATAGATCCCTTAAGTGCTTTCAACGAATGCCAATTTGGCCATATTTACAAACTGAGGATGTTTAATTTGGATCAGGAAATAAACTTAGTCTCTAAGTAAATGCTCTGTAGCATCCCATCTGAGAAATAAAAGATCCATTAAGAACAAAACAGACTAACACAGATTTTCTGTCAATTTAGCTGTGTTTTTGGCTTTTGAGTGATGAACATGGGGAGACTGTACGCTAATTCCCCACCCTGAAGTCTGAGCTAGCAGGAAAAGTGGAAAAGGAAAAGTGGGTTAGCCATCTTCAAAGCACATTTGAAAGAGAGAGATTTAATGGTGGAGGCTCAGATGAGATCTCTCTCAATATAGCTGAGGAAAACGAGCTAAAATATGAAGACTATAAGAGTCTGCAATTTTTTAAGCCCGGTGCTTTTCATACGGATGCACCTTTTGGCTTAACACCTTTTAAAGTTGCTGTCCTAAGGTGATGTGTGTATTTTATTCAATGTTAAAATACATTCTCCTAACCCAGTTTAATGTGAAGAGACACATTCACATGAACGTCCTGTATTCCTAAAGAATGTAAACGCAGTGCTGACATTTCAAATTCTGGCTCAGCCAGTGTTAAGAGTTTGGGACTACCTGTTTGGCCAAACAATTGCAGATGGGGTAGTGTTCAGGGAACGCTGTATGAAAACGATCATTATTTTTGCACAACTACATTACATAACCAGAAGTAATCAAGCTTGACCTTAGTAAGAATAGAAACTTCAGAACAACGAGATGAAGCCATTTTACTTTCTGTGTGAATACAGGGACACTTACAGGGAAATTTTTCTTGATTACACTCTTCATCCCCAAATTACAGTCATTTCTGTACTTCTAGACAAATATCATAACTGTGCCAGCACTGAAGTTTCTGTAAGGCAGGGGAATTTGATTTATTATAAACTCAAGGACAATAAAACCAAAGCATGTCCTTCACTTGAGAAAAACAAATTATTTTAGATCTAAAAATATTATGTTGTTTGAAGTAATCATGAGGGATCTTTGCATTACTTAGATCTCAGTACAATGGGGATCTTACTGTAACATTACACTGCGAACACTAAGGGGATGTTAACATGACACGTGTATTTGCATTCAAAGTAGACTGAGCGCAAGGACTTGGAACAGAATGCAAGGGTCTTGATATGCACAACGAGGAGCATTGCAACAGCCAAGACATCCTTCTGACACAAATGTATATAAACTAACAATTAAACAACAGCCGAAGAAGAATGCTAGATCACAACCTGCTTGAACCAGAGATATGTTACTTAAACAAAATATCATACTTTTCCTACAGTAGTATCTCACTGTCAGGTTGTATCTATTGAGTCAAATCTCCTCCCCTGTAGAAGTTTCCCACCTACCTGGCAAGCCTGGTACAACAGCTGGTGCTCAAACTTCTTGATCCCCAGGATCTGCTGGAACATCTCGTAGAGCTGGTCTTTGCTCAGGATGAGCTCGGAAGCGGCGCTGGCTGTCATGCGCTGCTGTGCCTTGCGTGGGTCCTCGTCTCCACGGTAGATGGTGTCAAACTTAGCCATCCAGGAACTCAGCACAGTCTCCTTGCTCAGACCATCGATCTCTGGCAGGCTCCGGACTCGTTTCTCGATATGGCGCTTGAACACCTCGCGACAGTCCAGAGCGGATAAACCTCCTGTTTGGACCATCTTAGCAACACGGTCGCTCTTTAGAAAAACCTACAGTTCACACAGACAAGGGGAAGCCAAAAAAAAAACAATTCAAGACATATTTAAAATTTGAGTTTTGTGACTTTTAGTCCAGGGCATATGCTATATGCTATCTAAACACTGACTCAATTGACCCTTAAATATACAAATGTAATTTTACTGAATAAAATGTCAAAAATATATTTATTGAATATTATTCTTTAAACATAATACTTCAAATATACACATTTAAAGTTTAATATAAATGTATAAAAAAAATATATATTGGTGACTACGACTAGCAAGTATGGTTCATAGCTCTAACAAAACTAAATAACTAAAGCCTAGTGGCAATAAAAAAAAAGGACAGATATGTCCCGATCAAGCTGTTTCTATAGGAAATATAAGTAACATAAGACACTTGCCCTGCCTTTTCATTGGACCTTTAAAGGTGAGATGGTGATAAAACCAGGAAAACAGTTCTGCCCTTCAAAATGTTTCACTTGGGTGACTTCAAAACATTCACTGTTTTCAATCACTCCAATCTGCTAGAGGAAATTATGCCTCAGTGCTCCTTTAATATTCTATGCTGTGATAGATACAACATCATCTGCAGTGATATACTGCAGTAATATAACCAACGCCATTAAAGCCATGGAAAGCAATGGTAACTGTAAAATTTCACAGCTTTGAAATGATGGGATCAGTGTGGGCAAAAATGTGTAAAAGGCATATGGGCTCTCGCTCTGAATTATTCAGAAGATATTTCCTAATTCAAACCGGAATAACGGGAAAGAACATTTGTGATTTTATTCTTTAGTCCAACTGAAATGACTATTGAGTTCCAACTGCCTCCTCTTTTCCTGTTCGCAATGTTTCAAATCAGTTTTTTTAGAGGTGTGAGTAAAACATGGTTTATGTTTTTCTCAACAATTGAGAAAATTGTGCTTGGCAGCTGCTTTTCTTCATTCTTTTTAAAAGCCCTTCTATCGTTCATTGTTCAAGAAGACAAATAAAGCTTTAAATTGCTGTCTGGTCCCAATCCAGACTGCAATTTAATGTGAGCTTCTCTTTCCATGGCCTGCTATGACAAACTGATTTGGAAATGAACAGTTCCGCAAACAGACCCTGCAATGGCTTTTCTAGTTGGATCATTATGGAAACCTGAGGGAAAAAATAGTCTGATTGAGCATGTTTCTGAGAAGTATTGCTACAGTCTAAAAAACGTTTTTAAAAATAGGGCACAGTGTATGTCTTAATATGAATTTTCCATATAGATTTTCACAGGTTTACCTGTATTACACATACTACACTCTAAAAAATGCTGGGTTGTTTCAACCCAACTTTGGGTCAAATATGGACTAACCCAACTTTTGGGTTAAAAATGTGATGTAAAAATTTAACCCAACGGTTGGGTTAGTCCATATTTGACCCAAAGTTGGGTTGAAACAACCCAGCATTTTTTAGAGTGTATGTTTTAGGGTTAAAGGAAATGTCCTGGCAGAATATTAGCAGTACCTTTTCTGTTTTTCTATGTCTTTTATGGAGTGTACACTCTAAAAAAATGCTGGGTTAAATACAACCCAGGGCTGGGTAAAAGAGGGACAAACCCAGCAATTGAGCTGTTTTGACCCAGTGGTTGGGTTAAATGTTTAACCCAACCTTCTGGGTAGTAACCCAACCACTGGGTCAAAACAACCCAATTGCTGGGTTTGTCCCTATTTTACCCAGCACTGGGTTGTATTTAACCCAGCATTTTTTAGAGTGTAGCAGTTCACAATTTGCCCATTCTATAACTAATTGCCTGTTATATCTGCAAGTTGTAGGCACTATTGGAGACATACACTTTCATTTACTGTATATGCTTAGCTATTAATTCTTGCATATGTCTACACACTAGCACTCATACTGTATACAACACACATGAGAATCTTGTAATTGCTACTGGCTACAAGAAATCATTATTTACAACTTTGGCAATTAAACACAATGCACATGTATTAATGATTTCATATGTGAGGCAGCCTGAAGTATTCTAATAACCACTTTCAGCCATATTGCGTAAGTAATTAGCATGCACAGAGGCCCAAATCATAGCAACAGGAAATAATGTGATGACCTTACCACAATATTTGAATCCATTAGAAAAGCAATCTCTTCACAGAGCATGTGTAAACACTTGTGTTTTAGCTAAGGAGAGCCGTCCCCGAAGGGCTATTTAGGCACTCTAATCTCTATGGTAATTCACTTACAAAGTCATGTCATCATCTAAATGTTTTGTCTAACCTGCCGTGCGGTAACTACAACTGGCTACGTAACATTTCAACACACACGGTACAATAATAAAGGGGTCATTGTTGTTTGCCATCATTAGCCTGAGCTAACCACCTGAAGGAGAGGTGAACATGCCACGACCTCACACAGACAGAGACATTTTAACAACAGACAAACTCATTTTAATTAATTCAGTGCATTACTCTATAGAGCACAATTTGGCGAATTCACAGAAAAATGTAAATAGTAAAACACCTAGATTATTTTTGGCTGCTCATTCTACTTAAATGTCCCTTATCTAATACTTTTACTGTTAGTTTAAAGGTACTGTAAGCTATTTTTGGGAAGCAAGCATAAACAACTACCTGTCAGATATCATTGAAATGTGTTTTCAAATGTGTTTTTGGGAAATCACACTTGTCTTTGTAATAATATGCTCTGCAAATAGCACAAAAAAGGGGATTGGCCGGCACTTTTTTAGCCAACTGGAAATGTAGACATTGACAATTAGAAATGTTCTAATGCTATGTGTTCAGTGTTTGCTCAGATGACTACATTTTAATATTTTTAATACACTACCATTTAAATATTTGAGGTGAGTAAGATTTTCTTAATGTTTTTGTTTCCTTATGCTCATCAGGGCTGCATTTATTCGATCAAAAATGCAGTAAAAACAGTAATATTGTGAAATATTATTAGAAATTAAAATAACTGCTTTCTATTTTAATATATTTTTTTATGTTTTTTTATGTTTTTTATGTCTTTACTGTCACTTTTGATCAATTTAATGTATCCTTGTTAAATGAAAGTATTCATTTCTTTTAAACAAATTTACTGACCAATTTAATGGTCGTGTAGAAATCATTATATAGATATAATATCAGTAACATAACGATAAGCATAAAGTGTACATTTTACAGTTTAACAATATTCTTCTTTGACCAATAAGGAAACTACCACAATATTTTATCTCTAGTCAAATATCAAACCAAAACAGGCTGATAAGTCTGAGGTGCCGGGTTTGAGGCCAATGTGATGCTTAAAAAAAGTTTAAGAGTAGACGTTAAAAAAAGGCTGAGCCACCAATAATGCCATGAAGTTATTACTTGAGCAATACAAGGGTCAATTTCTGCCATTCATTCTACTGTTGCAATAATACTTCACCTCGAAATAGCTCTGAACTGCATTGATGAAGGCTTCATCTGCCACAATCTGTGTGTCTCCTTTGAGAAAAGACTCAAAGCGGTCCTTAGTGGTTTGCAGCTGCTGCTTGGTGATCTACAAGAAGAAATGGAAAAATAAAACAATGTCAAAATTCAGATAATTTGCGATTGCAAAAAACGCAAAAATATTTTCATAAGACCAGTGCATTCATTTGTAGTTTTTATATATAATACAACAAAAAATGTTAGCTTTTTAATCAGTGACTCAATCTAAAATGGTCTCTGTTGAATCTGTTATCAGATTTTGCACACTCAGATGGATCCAATTCTATTACGGTGCAGGACTAAAGTAAATGATGTTACCTCAAAAGGGTTAGAGATTTTTCAGAAACAAATGACAAAGCAAAGTGGGTTTCTTTTTTAGCAAGAGACATTTAATACATCCTTGTTTTTCTTGAAACACTCCCACAAGTACATAGTCTCTTCTCAAGTCTACACTTAAAAATACGCTTTCTGCTTAAAAAAAGAAAGAAAGAAAGAAACACCCACCTTCTAACTGAATAACACACATTCTCTCTATTCTCACAGTCAGATATCTCTAGCTACATCTCTCTCACATTCATTCTCTCACTTGCACACTCTAATTTTAACTTTCCCTTGCAGGAATTGTGTATCTAAATCCTTCAAATTTTTTAGATATGTTGATTTTTCATGCATAATACATCTTATTTCACCGAAAGCCTACAAACGCTTCTACTTCCTTCTCACTCTCTCCTAATGTGATTCGTCACTCTCCCTGAATGCCATCAGGGCACAAGATGACAGAGTGACGAACGAGTAAGCAACAGAATGAGAGAATAGTTGTAAAGGAGAAAAAGAGCAGGCCAAACAGTATCCTCCTCCTCCTCACATAAAGCAATAGAGCGAAGTACTGACAGTTACAGTGCAACTGTGTTTTATGGCAGTGGTTATCAACTGGGTTTGCATCAGGGCTCAGGTTTTACAGCGGATATGTTGCGCCCCAACAAAATGAAGTTGTTTATCATAAAAAATTTTTTTTTTAAATCGCTCAAAAATGAAAAATTTGTCATGTTGTTTTTATATATTTTAAAATTATATTATTTATTTTTTGGGGGGAGTTTGAGAATTCACTATGAACTGATAATATAATATAATGTATTTAAAAGAGCTGTGTTAAGATTTTTACTTTTGGTTTGACTTTCGTGTTCAACTGAAAACATAAAAGCAAATGGCTTTGGAATGACATGAGGTCAGTAAATAATGATAGAATTTTATTTTTTGTATGAACCATCCCTTAAACATTTAACCATGAGCTGCCCAACAATATGCAAAATTACGACATGACAGGTTGAATAGGAAAATTGCCAAATCTGTGAACGCATAAACAGCCGTGTCTAGCCTAACACATGGAGCAAACACTGGGCCAAATATTGTATTAGGCTGCTGAATATGTGAAGTGCACAGCCATTAAGTGCATAAACATATCAATGTGATTTCAGTGCAATTAACAACAGACTCTCATGGCAGTACCACATGGCTCTCTGGAATACTTGGTTCTGATTGGTCGATCATGACATTCTGTGGTCAAACATTTTGTATAATGATCTCTAAACCATATATAGGGCCACATTCTCGTGATGTCCAGCATAGCCAAGTTTAAAGTCTTGCATAAAGAACTCAAAACAATATTTCAGAGGTTTTTATTTATTCATTTGGTAAGTACCAGTGCAATAAGCAGAAGAGTTTACAGTGAGCCAGTCATTATCACAAAACATAAACCCCCCTCCTCTTCTAATCATCTTGTCAGAATACATTTTGCACAATAGCACAAAAAAGGGGATTGGCCGGCACTTTTTTAGCCAATTGGAAATGTAGACATTGACAATTAGAAATGTTCTAATGCTATGTGTTCAGTGTTTGCTCAGATGACTAAATTTTTATATTTTTAATACACTACCATTTAAATATTTGAGGTGAGTAAGATTTTCTTAATGTTTTTGTTTCCTTATGCTCATCAGGGCTGCATTTATTCGATCAAAAATGCAGTAAAAACAGTAATATTGTGAAATATTATTAGAAATTAAAATAACTGCTTTCTATTTTAATATATTTTTTTATGTTTTTTTATGTTTTTTATGTCTTTACTGTCACTTTTGATCAATTTAATGTATCCTTGTTAAATGAAAGTATTCATTTCTTTTAAACAAATTTACTGACCAATTTAATGGTCGTGTAGAAATCATTATATAGATATAATATCAGTAACATAACGATAAGCATAAAGTGTACATTTTACAGTTTAACAATATTCTTCTTTGACCAATAAGGAAACTACCACAATATTTTATCTCTAGTCAAATATCAAACCAAAACAGGCTGATAAGTCTGAGGTGCCGGGTTTGAGGCCAATGTGATGCTTAAAAAAAGTTTAAGAGTAGACATTAAAAAAAGGCTGAGCCACCAATAATGCCATGATGTTATTACTTGAGCAATACAAGGGTCAATTTCTGCCATTCATTCTACTGTTGCAATAATACTTCACCTCGAAATAGCTCTGAACTGCATTGATGAAGGCTTCATCTGCCACAATCTGTGTCTCCTTTGAGAAAAGACTCAAAGCGGTCCTCAAAAAGAACTCAAAACAATATTTCAGAGGTTTTTATTTATTCATTTGGTAAGTACCAGTGCAATAAGCAGAAGAGTTTACAGTGAGCCAGTCATTATCACAAAACATAAACCCCCCTCCTCTTCTAATCATCTTGTCAGAATACATTTTGCATAAATGACCAGCGGACTGTACATTACCCCTCACATATAGAATTTTTACCCACACTTCTGTTCATGAGATAAAGGACCAATGATGTGCATGACTATATTCCTTTTTGTCAAGCTTACATCACTGTTTTTATCATCTCACTGAAACATTCAAAACCTTTAAATGTGCTCTATTGCTCTGTCATGCATATGGTGGCTTGCTAAGCATACCAAAAAAAAAAACGGTTATGTTGCCGTTCGTCTTGAAACCACCAGTGTGACAAAATCTAAAGGAAACAGGGTTTTCTGTGTGCAAATGTGTAGGAGGAAGGTGGAAAAGTACAAAGTAGCATGTGCCTGTGAGGCATCACAGCACCATCTGTGTGTTCATCTCTCTGCTACTGTCCTCTCTCCTTCACACACACATAGAGCATTGACTTTATCGGCCTTCTGAACTGTCTGTACAGAGAATACTATAACTCCCAACAGCTTGCAGCCCTCAATATTTCAGATTATGCTTTTCTCTTTGTTATTTCCAGAATAGTTTTTATGAAGGCCGGGTACAGGCACACAGGAGTTGATGTATGTTAACACTCTAACTGTACACTGTAAAAAAAAACTGTGACATTTACGGTAAAATACCGGTAGCTGTGGTTGCCAGAACTTCACCGTAAAAAATATGGCAGCAACATTTTAGGTTTTACAGACTTAACTTAAATTCACAATAAAATACCGTATTTCATTAACTGATGTAATGTTAATAAACCAACATATTGAAGTACTAATATCTGTTTTGAACCATTGTAATGCACTGATAACATTTGAAGGGTCTTCCAGGGAATTCTGGGAGTGTCAATTTACGGTTTTTCACTATAAATTATGCAATGACTTTTTCTTTTTCACTTCCAAAAAATGTATTTTTAACAGTATTTTACTGTGAAATCACATTAAATGTAATTACATTTATTCACCGAATATAGTATGGAAACTTACTGTTAACCAGTTAACAGGTTTTTACTGTAGCATTTTACAGTCGTTTACTGTTAAAATCACAATCATTTTTTACAGTGTAGAGCGAGTGTGTGTGTGTGCACACGCTCCATATGACATGAATATCTAACATCCATGTATATATAATGAAGACATTCGAATGCAGGTGTTTAAAGGCCCCATTTTCTTTCCTGTGTTGGCATATTTCATACTGGAAGAGGAAGATGAAATAAGGTACGCATCAAAGGAAGGGCACATTGTCTATGAAGAGAAAGATTATACATTTTAAACGCACTATAGTTCTGTCAGAAGTTCACTTTATCAATGTTCTGAAGCACATTAGCATATCTATGGTCTCAAAACTAACAAACATGGACTGAAAACTTCAAAACTTAAATTTTGATTTCGCAGCACCTTTAATGATGAATGAAGAAATAAAAGAAAGAAAGCTAGAAGACGAAAACATTGAAATGATAATGACGAACCTGGCCATAATAACCTTTATATTTACTAGCTCACAACTTTAACCTCAGGTACAAAGGTACAATATGGATGTCTCTTCTTAAATTAATCTGGGTAACAATAAGGTTACAATAAGGTTCCATTAGTTAATGTATTAACTAACATGAACAAACAATGAACAATACATTTATTACAGTATTTATTAATGTTTGTTAATGTTAGTTAATGAAAATACAGTTGTTTACAGTTAGTTCATGTTAATTCACAGTGCATTAACTAATGTTAACAAGCACAACTTTTCATTTTAATAATGCATTAGTAAATGTTGAAATTAACATTAGCTGAGATTAATAAATGCTGTAGAAGTATTGTTCATGCTTAGTTCATGTTAATTAAAGTTAACTAATGTTAACTAATGAACCTTATTGTAAAGTGTTACCTTAATCTGAATGCCATTGTTAAATAAATAAAATGATACTGTTGTAAACAGTGTTGTTTTTGTTAAAGGGGTCATATGATGTTGCTAAAAAGAACATTATTTGGAATATAACTATTAAAAATTGTTTTGGTAACTGAAATAAAACTGAAAAAATATAATATGAAAAACTTAAACTTAAAAACTGAAATAAGTTTATGTTTAAGTATATACTACTGAAAACTAAATCTGAAATGGAAATTAAAGCGATGTAGAAATATTTTTTTTAATTGCAAAACAACATTTCATTAAATTAAAATGAAAACTGAATATATAAAAAATAAATGCTAATTCAAAATATGAACAACTATTATAATAGTATATAAATAATACTAAAATAAAAGCTTTATGTGTTTTTGTGTTTACAGGTGTAACACAATACAGAACACTATTTTTTAATAATTACATTAGGA